TATACTGAGTTTTATTTAAACTACTTTGTATGAATTCTGTTATAACTTGATAAATATATTCACTTATTAGCTTGTGCTTGTAAAATTATAATTGAAACGGTTGCAAGCGATGTTACAAACTAAAAACAAATATGATTTTTAATTCTTTTAAATATTCATCACGAATACTATTTATAAATGTGTAGTTACATGATAAACATACTCTGTGAAGAAATTTGAAGCCAAATTGGAAAAGTCCGATTCCACAAAATCTAAGTGGTGTATTAATTGCCCACAATGAAAACTGTGAAATCTAAATTGACGTAGGCAATACTTTTAATATATATTTTGTTAATTATATATATTTATTTTAATATTATTTACATTTTAATAATATTTCACTCAATTAAAAACTTACGATTTGATGAACTTCAATATCACAAGTGGAATACAATAATTTGTTTAACAAATCTACTGTTGTTTGTGCCTAAAATTGTAACAAGCCAAGTTTAAATGAGGAAATTTCTAATTCAATTTTAACACTAGATATTAATAAGAATAAAATTTTAGGTTGCATTTTTTAAATAAAATGTAATATAAATATAAATATATCTTTGAAATTAAATAAATACCTTAGTGGAGACTATTTCGCACATATAATTAATGAGCAGGAATTTGAAAACATTTAGAGAAAACCAGATGAAGTGCAGAGTGGCGGACATTATGTTATATTTTACATAATTGTTAACAAGAATTGCGTAGAGAACTTCGTGCAAGTCATTCGCTATCCAACCAAAGTAACATGCCATTTTAAAAGTCATCTGCATTCCAAATATTGAGTCTATTTCACGGGATATTTTGCGTAACTCCAAATGAAGATGTCTAAAGGTACACATGTAACATAGTTTCAATTAATGTACTAGTATTTATAAATATTGGTTTTGGTACAATAATATTACTGCAGTTACAATTTACGTAAGTTTTCTTACATAATAATCCATAACGTATATTTGCTGCTTAATGTTTTCGAAAATCTATGTTCGTGTGGATATACCACGGAATTTTCCCAAGCCTGTTTTATCTTGTTATTTCTCGTCATGTTATGAAGATGTTCATTGATTTGATCAAATTTTAATCGTATGTATCTAAATATAAAGTAAGAAAATGAAAAACAAAATGTTTCTTTCTGAATAAGTATAGCTACAGATTGTTTTAAAACTTTGAAGAAGGCCAATTATTTCTGAAATAATTGGTTTTATGAAAATATGTTTCAGACAGAAGTTGCAGTGATTAAAAAATTTTACCATGTGGCAATATCTATGAGACCTTAAAATGATCTTAAAATAATTTGTCAAGATGACTTTACAAAACTTAAATGAAAAGCTCCATTTTTATTACATATTTTTATAACTTATTTCAAGAGCTTTTTAATATCCAAAATGTACCAAGTGGAGGCTGTACGGTCGAATTTACATCTTTGTTGTGTTTGTATGCACTTTAAGGTAAAATTGTTAAACATTGCAACTTTTGTCTGAAACATATTTTTATAAAACTAATTATTTTGGAGATAATTGACTGTTTTTGGACTTTTAGAACAATCGGTATATTGTATCAATACTTACAAAAATACTTTAGAAATTATAATAAAGATTATATGTATATTATAATTTAGATTGATTAATTTTTACAACTAAATTATAAAGTAACAATAATAAATATACATAAAAATGTACTAACTCCAGAATACTTGCAATAGTCAAATCACCGATAAAGTTGAGGTGAAAGGAATAATCTCGTATCAACATGAAGAACATTGATGTTGCAACATCACGATTATGTTCATTTTTTATGAATAATGATACACTGTACGTCGATAATATAACTGCTAGGAACCATCCTAAAATAAACCGTACTGTTCTCTTGCATAATTTGTCATAATTCGTTATTGTACCCAGCCTAAGTAATGTGTTGTCCACAATATCAAACTTTCTCAAACAATTTTGGAACTTCTGCCATAAAGATATGAAATGCAAAATAAATGATTATTATTCACACAAAACTTTGATGATTTTATTGAGCTTATGTGTCTAACATTTTATATTTTAAGAATGTAGTATAGGAGTCATTATTTTTATATTCCTTTACATATTGTACAGAATTTAAATAAATTATTTTATTAGGTGTTTAGAAATAAAATTTAATAATTTGGACAAAAATTTAATGTGTATCAAAATGTGTGAAACTTAATTTTCTCATAGTATGCTTTATTATTAAATCAGAAAGAATATAATGTGTTAGAGATTATAATTTTTATACGTATTTTGTTTATGTAATTGTATAACAGAAAAAAAATTTATCATTATTAATAACTGTATATATTAGTAACGACACATCTTCTTACCTTCTCATGATATACCCCAAATACGATTGACAACAAAGTTGTAAATGATTCTAACCAATAGCAAATGTTGTCCTGGATGGGAAAATACTCAAAAAAAGAAGATATCAAGGGAGATGTTGCGAAGAAATAGTAAATCGACCAAATTAGCATCATATATAAAACAGTAAACAATTTTAAATGTCTAGATAAATTAACAATTCGTAAACCAAATGCATAATTGATAATTAGAAGTGGCATTAAAATTGTTCGAATACTTTTGGTCATTGCACACACGGTTTCCACTCTAAACTGCACTCTTGTTGTCCAGTTGAATAATTTGCATTGACCGATAACGATAATAAATTTTTGCAATTTCAATTCATTTATGGCACTTCGGAATATTAAAATAATCAACCTACTACTGGTTAATACTCTATAATTTATCGAAACAAGACTGATGATGGATATACTACTCGTTCTATATACATATATAGAACGAACGAATATACATATTAAAAATTTTATTCAGCAAGAGAGAGAGATATATATTGTATATATATATTACAGCTGTTAGGGTTAATTGTTATATATGTATAACTGAAATTTTCTTAATAGTGAAGAGAACTATGAACAAATATAAAATTGATGCAAAACAATAATAAAAAATATTTATTATTTACCTTTTATTGCATAAAATCTGTGGAATTTATTTTTAATTCTGAATATTAACATAGGTATATGAAATTAAAAGATATCCAGAAGATATTATATAATACTATGTATTTTACAAAATATATAGTATATTTTATCCACATATACATATTTGTTATTTTTTTAATATTTTTAAAATTATTTTTTAAAAACTTTATCATACTTTAATTGAAATGTTTACTTATTTACATGCGATTGTATTACTATAATTAAAACGGTCGCAACAGATATCACAAACTAAAAATAAGGACATAGCAAATTAGTTTTTTTACATGTTTGTCACAATTTAACCATGTGTAATATATAATTATTATAAGTATAACGTACCCTGTAAAGAAATTTGAAGCCAAATTGAAAAAATCCATTTCCGCAGAATCTAAGTGGTGTATAAATTGTTTGTGAGGAGAATTGTAAAATCTGTGAAATAGTAACAAAATACATAATTTTTAATACACATTGTGTTGATTTTTACATTTCATATATGTTATTTTGTGATTATTTTAATAATATATGTATTTCAATAAATTTATTTTCAAGCTTACAATTTCACGAATTTCAATGTCGCAAGAGAAACACAATAATTTATTTAATAAATCTGCTGTTGCCCTTGCCTAAAATTGTAATATAATGTAATTGAAGAAATTTCCAACTTAGTTTCAATATTAAATATTAATAACAATAAAAAATTAATAACAATAAGTATTAATAACAATTAATTAATTTGTTATAAACAAATATTAAATTAAAAAATAAATACCTTAGTGGAGACTGTTTCGCACATATAATTAATTAGCAGGAATTTGAAACAATTATGAATAAACCAGACAAAGTGCAAAATAAAGAATATTATTTTATATTTCACGTAATTGTTGATAAGAATTGCGTGGAAAATATCACGCAAGTCAATCGCTATCCAAGCGAAATAGCATGCCATTTTGAAAGTCATTTGTGTTCCAAATATTGAGTCTATTTCACAGGATATTTTACGTAACTCCAAATGTAGGTGTCTGAATTACACATGTAACATGTAATATATACACATGTGCATATAAAATATCATTCTGTGCATTATTATTGTTTGTAAATTATTTTTAGTAATATTACTGCATTATAAGTCATTTGTATCTTCTTACATAACAATCCATATTATGTATTTGCTACTTAGTGTACGTAGTGTTAGCTTCGAAAATCTGTGTTGGTGTGGATGTATTATGGAATTTTGCCAAGCTTGTATTTTGTGTTCATTATTTCTTATCATGTTATGAAGATGTTCATTGACTTGATCAAACTTTAATCCTATGTATCTAACAATAAGTATAAAAGAGAAAATGAAGATTAAATCTTTCTTTGTTAATAATATCTGTTAAAAATCATAAAATTTATATTATATCATTAAGTTTAATGAGTTTTATAAATGACTAAATGACTAAACCATGAAGAAATAGTAAGTACGTAAGTACTAACTCGAGAATACTGGCAGTAATCAAATCACCGATAAAGTTGATGTGACAGCAGTAATCTTGTATTAAACAGCAGAACAGGCATGCCGCAAGATCACGATTATGCTCATTATTTATAAATAATGCTGCACTAAATATCAAAAATATAACGGACACGAACCATCCCAAAGTAAACCATACTGTTTTTTTGCATAGCTTGTCATAATTTGTAATTGTTCCTAACTTCAGTAATGTGTTGTCCACAATGTCAAATTTCCTCAGACAATTTTGAAATTTCTGTTATGAAGATAAATTGTACAATAGATAAATAATTGTCATTTATTCGAAAATTTTACGGTATTATTTAATTTTTGTATCTAATAATGTAAAATTTTGTGAAGGTAATATAAAAGTTGTTTTATTATTATAATGCATTTTTGTAAAAATTGAGGTAATTATTTTATTAGATATTAGGAAAAAAGTATTAGCACATACTTATTAATGTATACAAGATTTTCTTTGGAATGGTAATTATTATTATTAAAATACCATGGCAAAATTCCTATATTAAACACATAGAAAGAATCTAATAAAGTATGTATTGTAATCTTTATGCGAGTTTTATCTGGTATATAATTGTATATTAGACATAAAATTATTTATTATTAATAACTGCATATATTAAGACATAAATTATGTCAATTGCTTATTATCGTGATTACATATATTGGTAATTACACACTTTCTTACCCTGTCATGGTATACTCCAAATACGATTGATAATAAGGTAACAAAGAATTCTAGCGAAGTACAAATGTTATTCTCAGCGGAGTCAAACATAGTAAAAGAAGTTATTAATGTAGATGTTGCAAAGAAATAATAAACCGACCAAATTAGCAGCATGTATAAAACACTAAACCATTTAGAATATCGAGATGAATTTGCAATTGTTGAACCAACCACATATAACTAAGCATTAAAAGTGGCATTAAAATTGTTCTAATACTTTTGGTCATTGCACACACAGTTTTTATTCTAAACTGCACTTTTGTTCACCAGTTAGTTGAATAAGTTGCATTAAATGATAACAATAATGAATTCTTGCAATTTTAATTCATTTAAGGCACTTAGGAATATTAAAATAATCAACCTATTGGTTTATACTTTATAATTTATCGAGACAGAACTGATGATAGATACTACTTGTTCTAATAGACATCTTTATGTAATAGAAAAGGAATATTGTTTTTGACAGTTTTGTTTTTCATCTAGGTTTTATATAGTGTTATATTTAGCACAAATTATATTAAAAAGTTTTATTGAGCAAGTTATATTTCAACTATTACAGCTAGAACATATACATATTATACATAACATGCATCATAATATGAAATAAAGTATTTCTGTCTATTATGTAGAAATTTTGTATAGTCATCTTTGTATAGTTATAGAAAAACCGATGTGCCAAAGTAATTCTTTTGATAATGAATCGTAGACAGATGAAATCGATATGAGGACATAATTAAGAATATTCATTATTCAAACTAGGAGCATATATAAACATTAAATTATGGTCTTGAATGTCTGGATAAATTAACAATTCTTAAACCAAACACATAATTGATCATTAAAAGTGGCATTAAAATTGTTCGAATACTTTTGGTCATTGCACACGCAGTTTCTATTCTAAACTGTACATTTATTGACTAGTTAGGTAAGTTGCATGAGATGGTAGTACGATAGTAGATCTTTGCAATTTCAGTTAAGGCACTTATGGATATTAAAGTAATCAATTTACGATAATTTATGCTTTATGATTTATTGAAACAAGTCTGATGATCAACTACTTCTTTTAACTTCAAACATATGTATATATATACACGATGTGTATGCATATATATATGTACATATATTTGTGTAACAAAAATTAAAATATTATTCTCACCAATTTGGTTTCTCAACTTTTAATCTGGGTTTGATACATACAATGCAATATGTACTTAGTACATGTTAAAAAATTTATTATATTTAAACAAAATATATTTAAACCATTGTTACAGAAATAAATACATTATATACAAATATCATAAATATTCGCAATAAATATAATGTTTTCATTACAGAAAAAATTATAATACTTTAATAACTCTATGAATAAGTATATGCAAAGCGTAATTATCTTAATAATAAAGAGAATTGTCAACATATACGAATTTTTTAAACTACGTTTTATGCACTTTATCATAACTTGATGAAAATGTTTATTTATTTGCATGCGCTTGTATTATTATAATTAAAACGGTCGCAATAGACATCACAAACTAAAAATGAAGTTTGCTTTTATCTTTGTCACAAATGTAGCTATTTGTAATATATAATTATATTATAAGTATAACATACCCTGTGAAGAAATTTGAAGCCAAATTGGAACAATCCGACTCCGCAGAATCTAAGTGGTGTATAAACTGTTCGTAATGAAAATTGTGAAATCTATATGATATTAACAAAATACATTAGTTTTAATACACATATTGATTTTTTGCATTTTGTGTACTTTATTTTATGATTATTTTAATATATGTATATATAAATATATTCCATTGAATTGATTTTAAAACTTACAATTTCACGAATTTCAATGTCACAAGTAAAATATGATAGTCTATTCAATAAATCTGTTGTTTCCCTTGCCTGAAATTATAATATCCTATAATGTAATTGAATAAATTTTTAACTTATTGTTAGTTTCAATACTAGTATTAATAACAACCAAATTTTAACTGATTTATTTGTTATACAAATATTAAATTCATGCTTCTTTGAAATTAAATATGAAATGAATACCTTGGTGGAAACTGTTTCGCACATATAATTAATTAGCAGGAACTTGAAAACATTATGAGAAAACCAGACAAAGTTCGCAGTAGTGAACATTATTCTATATTTCACGTAATTGTAGCTAAGGATTGCGTAAAGAATGTCACGCAAGTTAATCGCTATCCAAACAAAATACCATGCCATTCTTAAAGTCATTTGCGTTCCAAGTATTGAGTCTATTCCACAGGATATTTTGCGCAGCTCCAAATGAAGATGTCTGTATATGCACATGTACATATAAAGTATCATTCTGTCTATATTATTATTTGCAAATTGTTTTCAGTAACATTACTGCAGTTACAATGCATGTAATTTTGTGTAATTTTTAGTAATATTACTGTAGTATAATGCACCTAAATTTTCTTACATAACAATCCACATTATGTTTTTGCTGTTTATTGTACGTAGTGGTAGCTTCGAAAATCTGTGTTCATACGGATGCATTATGGGACTTTGCCAAGCCTCTTCTATTTTTTGTTCATTATTTCTCATTATATTCTGAAGATGTTCATTGACTTGATCAAACTTTAGTCCTATGTATCTGAGTACACAAAAGAAAATAAAAAATGAAGTCTTTCTTTGATAATAATATCAATTGTTTTCATCAATGTTTACAAAAATACTTCAGAAATTGTAAAACTTATGCATTGTAATTTTGTTCAATTAATTTTTGTAAATAGCTATAAAAAGAAATAGTAAATATATAAATACTAACTCGAGAATACTTGCAGTAGTCAAATCACTGATAAAGTTGATGTGAAAACAGTAGCATCGTATTAATAAGAAGAACATGCATGTTGCAATGTCACGATCATGTTCTTCTTTTACAGCTAATGCTGAACCGAATGTCAAGAATAAAGCTATCAGGAACCATCCTAAAGCAATGCATGCTGTTTTCTTGCGTAACTTGTTATAATTTGTGGTTGTGCCTAACTTAAGTAATGTATTGTCCACAATATCGAATTTCTTCATACAATTTTGGAATTTCTGATATGAAAATAAAATGCAAAATAGACAAATAATTATTATTTGTTGACAAAATTGACGATATCATTCAATTTACGTAGTTAATGTTAAATCTTTTTATTTTAAAATTGTAGTGTACAATTTTTTTATCTTATTATTCCTATACACTTTTTATAAAATTTGAATAAATTATTTTATTTGTTGTGAAAGCTTCGGTAGAGTAACTTGACGAGAAGGCAATTGTAATTCGCTTGACTTCCTTTATTGCAAGAATGCTCGTACTCGTCACACAAAAACAGAATAATCGCATAGGCGGTACAGAACCGACGTTCGAGGTACGAGAACAATGAACTTAAAACTAATAGATCGCACACAGCGTTAAGCGAATAGGAACTAGAATGTAGAGGTCGCCCCGATACATAGAGGGACAGAAAGAAGTGAATACACAACACCCCCGCTCAATTCCGACTGTCCATTATCAAAAAAGAATATAAAGGGGGGCTAAGAAAGGCCGAGACCGACCTTACAAGCTGAGTGTTTGGGGCCGTTTAGGGCCTTGGTTAATACATCCGCGGTCATGAACTCGGTAGGAATGTATTCTAGTTTGAGGGGTTTACACTGGAGTGCTTCACGTATGAAGTGGTGTCTGATGTCCACGTGTTTGGTCCTGGAGTGATGGATAGGGTTGGAAGCGAGCTGGCTGGCTCCTTGGTTGTCGTTATATATAGTGACTTTCCCCAATTGATCCAAGCCCAGCTCCTTCAGTAAACTCGAAAGGTACAACGCCTCCTTCACTGAATCCGAAAGTGCCATGTACTCCGCCTCTGTAGATGATAGAGCAACGGTGCGCTGCTTCCTAGATTCCCAAGAAATCGCAGCCCCGCTGAGTATGAAACAGGAGCCGGTGTAGGACCTTCTATCGATGACGCAGTTGCCCCAGTCCGAGTCGACGTATCCGAGTAAGCCCCGATTGGTCTTCGTATAGGTTAACCCTTGATCCGTTGTTCCCTTGAGGTAACGTAAAACTCTTTTGGCTCCGGCCCAGTGTTTTTGGCCGAAGTTATTGTTAAACTGGCTGAGGATACTAACTGAATGAGTAATGTCAGGACGAGTACTCACAGACAGATACATCAGAGCTCCGATTAATTCTCGATAGGGAAGAGCGAGCTCAGACTCGGTCTTCTCGGGGGCCTCGAATTTTTCACCTGGAGTGAGCGGAGTGCTTACCGATTTGCAATCGCTCATGCCAAACTTGGCGAGTATATCCTGAATGTATCCGGTTTGAGTAAGGCGTACGCTGTCGTCCTCTTGTTTGATCTCGATGCCCAAACAATAGTCCGCAAGACCCAGGTCCCTGATTAGGAATCTTTGGGCGAGCTGGCTCTTGATTAGTTGGCATCTCCTCTTGTTTTGCGAAGCGATGAGAATGTCGTCCACGTATACAACCAAGATGGTAAGTTCGCCGTGCAGCCGATTCACGTAGACGCACGGGTCCGCAGCAGTAGGTTTCAAGCCGATGTCCTGTAGAGTCTGATCCAGCTTGAAGTGCCATTGGCGTCCGGACTGACGAAGGCCATATAGTGCCTTCTTCAACCTGCAGACTTTGTTGGTTCCTTGCAAGCTTCGAAGCATATTCTTAGCTTGTTCCGCTGACCTTTTTCCTTTGTCTTCGGAGATGATCCGTCTCAGCGACTCCTCGAGATGGTCTGGTACGTCCATATACAGCTCGGTATCGATATCGCCATTCAGATAGGCGCTGGTGACATCGAGTTGAAAGATCTCCATACCGAGCTCGACCGATAGGGCCGTTAAGAGACGCAGCGAGCCCAGTCTTGCGACGGGAGCGAAAGTATCGCGGAAGTCTATACCGGGCCGTTGTGAAAAGCCCTTAGCCACTAGCCGCGCCTTTCTGCGTTCCAAGGAGCCATCGGACTTGTATTTGTTGCGCAGAACCATCCGGCATCCGATCGTCTTGGCGTGCGTCGGCTTCTCGACTATTTCCCACGAGTCGTTACGTAGTAGGTTCCTAATCTCAGTGCATATCGCCGACTTCCATTCATTGCCGTCCGTTCCGGAAATCGCCTCTGATAATGGGATCTCCGACGCGCTCATGGCCACTTCGTGATCAGTGGAGCCAATCGATCGTGTGTCCTCCTCGACCGCAGTTTCGTCTTCGATACTCGCCTGTACGTCCCCGACGGGGATCAAGTTTGGCTGTTTCCTGGGTCGGCCGGGTCTGCCAGTTATTATCTTCTTTGGTCTGCCCGGTCCTCTCTTCAGCCTTACGTCTTCCGGCGTGTCCTCGAAATAGTCTGAGTGGACTTCCTGTTCGTCATTTGGCGAGTCTTTGGAGCCATCCTCTGAGTTGTATTCCTCGGCG